GTCGTAAATCATAGAATCATAGAATGGTTTGAGTTGGAAGGGACCATAAAGATCATCTAGTTCCAACACCCCTGCCACGGAGAGGGGTACCTTGCACTAGATCAGGTTGCTCAAAGCCCCATCCAACCTGACTTTGAACACTTCCAGGGATAGGGCATCCACAACTTCTCTGGGCAACCTGTTCCTGTGTCTCACAACCCTCACAGTAAAAAATTTCTTACTTACGTCTAATCTAAATCCACCTTCTTTCAGTTTAAAACCATTATCCTTTGTCCTGTCACTACAGGCCCTGACAGAGTCTCTCCCCATCTTTCCTTTAGGCCGCATTTAAGTACTGGAAGGCTGCTATAAGGTCTCCCAGGAGCCTTCTCTTCTCTAGGCTGAACAACCCCAACTCTCTCAGCCTTTTGAAGACAAGGATGTTGTGCAGGACAGTATCAAAATCAATTACAATTGTTGGATTTGGGGTGGGTTTTTTCTGTTTTATTTCACCTGGAGGAAATATATTTATGAATTCCACTAATTCAGTGTCACGATGATATATCCTATTCATTGCATATGACTTTTTGTCGTGGGTTATCTTTTATTGGAGATCTGAATAGAACTTAAATACTCTACTATGTGCATAAAAAGGTAGGCATAATGAGATAAAATATATATAATTTTTAATCTATTAAATACAGATCATCTTTCCTTGTTGTCTTTTATAACAACAATAATGAAATGTCATTTAACCATAAGGAGTAAAAATCAAATTTATTCCAGGTATTGATTTGATAGAGTAAAATAATAAATAAATGAGTTGGTATTTTATCTATAATTCTACAAATAAATGAATAAATCACACTGTTCATATGAAGGTAAAAAGTTCTTAAAGTATATGTAAGTTTTCCATAAGAAAAAGACTGCAGCATTTTTTTGCACAGACTTTACCAGAGCTAAATCTACCTTCTAAATATGACCTAGCATAGCAAACTAGCATATCTTACAGTCCTCTTCAAAGTACACTGTAATTATTTTTTCCTGAACTGAGATTCTAAAGGTTAAAAGAAAAGCTCTGAAAGTGATAAATACAGGTGCAGAATTGTAAGTGAAATGGATAGAAAATAAGCATTACTATTTAACTAACAGCTTAAGTACTTAAGAGGCACAATGTTTTCTTCTTAAATAATTTCCTTAAAATCGAATCACATTTATGATTTAGTCTCATTGCAGCTTCCATGTATCAGTTAATATTGATTTCAAATCTCAAGATCAGCACAATATTAGGTTTAAGAATTCTTTTTTAAAAGAGCTGGCATATAGACTTATATTATGTGTTGTTTTCAATTTGCAAGTGAGGTGCAGTGAAGGAAAATTCATAAAGATGATATATCCTAAAGTTCAAAAGTACTGGAAATGTATTGATTAGGTAACATGAGATTTTCCTCACTGCCTGACTTTAGGAGCCTTTTAACTGTCTACATTTGTTGTCCAAAGTTAGTTGACGTGAACAGTCAGTAGTAAAATATGTGATTCGCCCTCTTGAGGTAATGGCCAGTGCTCTGTGTGACAGGTCTGCTGTTTCTATCAGATAGTCTCAAGTGTTGGAGAGCTCTTCATTATGGTGTTTGCAGGTTCTCTGTTGCTAACTTGTGAGAAGGCAGGTGTTGTGGCTAGCCTTCCAGAAACATCAGATTTTTAAATCCTGACCTTTGGTAGGTCTTCTCGGTGCTCGGCACATCAGAAAATAAGTGCACATACAAAGAAGCTTAACTTTCTAGTCTTGTGTTTGTAAATCTTGGTCTGCCTGTCCGGTTCTCTTATGGAGAATGGTGGCTCCCTTCAAGGTGCAAAGCAAAGGTCTTGGTAACATGACAACAAAAGTTTGTCAATTCATATTCAGAAGACAAACTAAAATCAGCTTTCTGAAGTAGCAACAAGTGTGGCATCAGAAACATGAGTCCTGGCCCAAGAGGAGACTCAGGAATGTGTGACAGCACTGCCTTTTTTTGACAAAAGTGCAGGCTATTGTCTTAAGCCAGTCCCAAAGCAGCACACTTCTCAGCCAGAGCGCTCAGTCACCCAGTTCCAGCTCAGACCTCAGCATCTGGAAATCTGATGCTTTGCTCCACCACTTCAAAGGGGAGCAAAACTCACCAGTCTAAGGTCAGAACACAGTGAAAGACTGAACAATTTGGGATGGAGGCAAGAAAGTGGCAACTATGTTAAAAGGTAGCATTTCTTTTCAGTGGAAAAAGTAGACTGAATTTTTTAGGTTGGAAAGATAGTGAGATACTGTACAATGAAGGAAGACAATTGTGTGTATACCAGGAAGGGAAGTTGTACTGTACAGTGAGTGAACGTGACATGTTTTGTCAGTGTAATTGCTCCAGAAGGAACAAATCTCCCTTTTTCTTCCACAACAGTAAGGGTCCAAAGGTGGCACGTAGAGTGAACTTCTGTTTTTTGATGGAAGAGGGGAAAAAAATTGAAAGCTACCATTTATTTCTCCATCTTGGTCACTGGAGTAGAACTGTTATTGCTGTGGCTCCCTGAATTTCTGGAGCAGAAGGTAGGGCTGAAAGTGGGAGATCCTATTACAAAGATATTCCTTATGGACAGGAACAGATGAAAGCCATCAAATGCTCTACAGGTATTAGATAGCTTCTGTCTGTCATTCCAGTAGGAAAATGTATTCCTCCAGCTGGGCTTGTCTAAGCTATTTAATGTATAGTCATTTATGGTTATGTGTTATGTAAAGAATTGTTATACTGAACCTGGACTTTGGTCTTCTCTAACATGTATCATTCCTTACTTTTCACATCCAGAAAATCAAGAGAGTAACCTCAGGCTTTTTGTTAACTGAATCCATTTCAATGGTTTATTTTCATTCATTTATTAATTGCTAACCTTTATTTCTTTTAGAAGTTGATTTTAATGAAACTTTCCCTCAGCTTAAAAACATGATCAGTTTATTGACTTTAAAAAGTGATTTTTAGTCAAATAACACTTATATTTCTGTCTTCTTCAGGAGTGCCCTAGTTTCAGCAGGGATAGAGTTAATTTCCTTCCTAGTAGCTGGTACAGTGCTGTGTTTTGGATTTAGGATGAGAACAATGTTGATAACACACCCATGTTTTAGTTGTTGCTAAGCAGTGCTTACACTAGTCAAGGACTTTTTAGTTTTCCACGCTCTACCGACTGAGAAGGCTGGAGGTGCACAAGAAGATGGGAGGGGGCACAGCCAAACTGGCCAAAGGGACATTCCATACCATGTGACGTCATGCTCAGTACATAAACTGGGGAAAGCTGGCCGGGGGAGCTGCTGCTCGGGGACTGGCTGGGCATCGGTCAGCGGGTGGTGACCAATTGCACTGTGCATCACTTGCTTTGTGTAGTATTATTATTATTACATTATTATTATTGTTGTTCAATTATTAAACTGTTTTTATCTCAATCTATGAGTTTTTCTCACTTCTACTCTTTCAATTCTCTCCCCCATCCCACCCGGGGGGGGGGGGGGGGGGGGGGGGGCCCCCCCCCCCCCGGGGGGGGGGGGGGGGAGGAGGGAGCAAGCGGCTGCGTGGTGCTCAGCTGCCGACTGAGGTTAAACCACAACAAGGAGATAGAAAGAATAACTCTTGGAATAGCTTTTCATTCTCTATTGTTCAATAAATAACTGTAACAGGAGCAGTCTTGTATGACCAGCCATCATGCAGCAAGTATTACAATGTTAATTCCAAACCCTTCAGCATCAATCCTCATATGGATAGATGGGGGGGAACTGAAAAAAAAATCCTTCAAACAGCTACCTTTGCTATGAGTTACTTTCCTAAGTCATAGGACCTTTCATATGGAGCACCGCTCAGTGAGGCACTCCCAGAAATAAACTTTGACAAGTCCATTAAGGTTAATTTCCAATTGTGAACATCCTTTAAAACTTGCCAATTTTCATTACAGAAAAGTAGCAATCTTGAAGTACTTGCAGTATTCCATGGTTATTCTTGGAAAAAAAAGTCAGATGACCTCCAAATGCAGAACATTTCTTAAAACAAAAGTGGTGGGGATAACCCTCCTCCCTGTCCTGTTTCTCATGTAGGTTGTCTTAACCCTCACTCACTCCAAATCAGCATTGCAAATCCCAACATTCATTTGCACAGAAGATCATAAGAAACTATTAATTCTTCAAAGCTGATGGGAAAGCCTAAATATGTGGCCGTTTGTTTTGCTGAAGACTGTATTTTGAACACTGTTTTCATTATAGGGCAGTGGGGAAATGCAGGTAAATTGCTTTAGCGACCAGCAGGAGGGACAAGACATTAAAGGGTCCCCTTTAAGTTGGAATATAAAGCAAGCTGCACTAGGTCTGGTCTATAACCATGGCTGAAAATAGAGTATCAAGGGGAGGTTCTTCCTCCACAGTACTTTTTTTTCCTACTGAGCTGTGTTGGAAAGGGAAGAAAACTCAAGTCTGGATTTTGAAGACAACTGGCTGAACCAAACACCTAATTCCATTCTAGAATGGGAATGTGAATTCCACTTTAGGAGACTGCAGTATAGTTTTTTAAGGTACTTAGAGATTGGTTCACTGGCAGATTCAGGAGCTGCTTGACCAAACAGTTGTTTTAAAGGCAACTCACATATTTTACTTCCACCGTTGTCAACCTTTTCACAAAACTGTGGGGCATACTCCTTTTTCAAAATCCAGTATTGCGCTTCTCCAGGCCTCCATCCTATATGTGTTGGATAAAAAGTTTTTGTAAATAATGCATGCATCATAAATTGTTTATAAATATCTTCTGATGGTGGGCTGTTTCCCCTGTGCTTCCCATTATGCCTCAGCTATTACCTAGATGGTTGCTAGCATGGAGATGAAGAACTGACTGTTTTATTCTCACCTTGTTTCCAGGGGAACAAGAATTACAACAGAATCCACTAGCAACAGGACTAATGTGTCTGAAACATCCCTGATCAATGCTCTATACTGAAAACATGTGATTACTTCTTTTTCTTTGCAGGTGCATATGTGTTTCAAGTAAAGGCAACAGATGCTGATGATCCCACTTATGGAAACAGTGCTAGAGTGGTTTACAGCATTCTTCAGGGGCAACCGTATTTCTCCATTGATCCAAAGACAGGTAAACAGTTTATCAGCAACAGTGGAAGTTTTAAACTTTGGATTTTGATTCATATGGGCAGTATCAATGAATAAATATGGACTGGGCTGATATGCCCAAAAGCCAGTAGAGTAACGCTGCACATGATTCAGTTTTGGATATTGACTAGTTTTTGAATTAATTACAATCTGTTGTAGAAACAAAAGAAACATGCTCCTCCAATCAGTCCTGGAATATCTAATATATATATATACATTGAACATTTTTTTTTTTTTTATGCTTTACCATTGCTCTATAGCTAAAGCTTTATCTGCTACATGCATTCTATTTTTTGTTTTTTCCTGATGATTCAGTTTTTTATCTTGGGTCTACATTCATTTTTCTCAGCATTTTTACTTGCTGAACTTACGGTCAGAAATTCTCTAACTATGATTGTTTTGTTATATAGAGCTAATTTGAGACTGTGGAACAGCTAATGATCTCCTGCCCTCCTCTTTTCCTGGGGCATAGTATGTTTTCCTGGGGTTACGGGATGTGTGAGCAGAAAAGGATAATATGTATAAAGAGAGTGAAGTATTTGTGAGGTTGGTAGACACGTTAATTAGGTATCTTGTCTTATATTTCTAAATGTCATTCTTGTTTCTGTATTTAGTAATTCAGTTAAGGAGCCAATAACCTATTTGGTGAATGTCATGCATTGTGTCATCCTGAATGTGTTACAGGAATAGTTGTCCATATGTCCCTTTCAGCAAATAGTTTCTCCTCCCAGTGAAGCTGTAGTTGAATGTCAGGCTGTGTGTTAAAGAGGCTTTATCCCTGATCAAACAATAGTTTGGTGGTGAGAGCCTCATAAAGGTATTAGCGGACTATCTCCAATGGACACATTCCTTTGTCACATGCTCCGTTTAGCAGGAGATAGTATTGCAATTTGCAGTGAACAACTTTACTTTTCAAACTGAAATGGGACTTCTTCATGTGTCTGGGGGAAAAGAAAGTATTTACCTTTATACTTATTTTTTATTTCAGTCTTGTAAAGAATGAGGAGGAATTCAATGGCAAGAAAAACCTTTACTGAAGCCACAATTGGAGTTCTATTCCAAGTTTCCCAAGAAAAAAAACTAATAGTTTTAGTACTTAAAGAAGAACTTTTTTCCCCGTGGCGCTTTGAATTGCTGTATCATATGCTCTCATCTATTACTCAGTAGGGAGTAGTGAGTGGACCATAGGTGATGGCCTGCATCTACCAGCCCTGGAAGATCATACAAACCCAGTAATTCCACATCTGTCTATTAATATCTTTAATGAGTTACTCAGGTGGACCTTGGTGGTAAAAGAATGGACACAGCTGTATAGGAAGATTCATGAAACAGCTAGCCCAGCATAGCTTAAAATCCTATACCAGAAAAAAGCATACAGACTCATGCTTCTACAAGCAACAATAATGTGCTGTAATCTGTCTTACATTAGAAAGGTCACAATATGAGAGTTACCTGTGGGTATAACAATGACTGTAGAGGTAAATAGTATGTGAATAATAATGCACAGAATGCTGCTTAATAATTTGCTCTAAAATCCAGAAATCTTGGGCAGCACTACAGATCATCTGGCATTTCTAATTCTTTATTTTATAACTGAGGAGATGATACAGTAGTTTTTCACTGCAGAGTTTTACCACCAGACATCTGCCTTGAGTGTTTTTGACAGGAAAGGGGAAGAAAGCCATTTGGGTACAAAATGACAGACAATTTCAGAACTGCTGGCAGATGGATAAGCATTTATTGGGTTGCTGCTGTTGGTTTTTTTGCCATCTCTTGCATTCTAGTGACAATTTTGAGATATTCCCTTGTAGTTATTTAAAGAAATTAAGAATATCCATACTAGGTCAGACCAAAGGTCCATGCTGCCCTGTACCATGTTTCCAAAAGTGACGTCCTGCTCAGTTCTAGTGAAGGATAAAAGAAGTGTTTAGTGATACACCCCCAAATACTCTTCTAGTCTTCAACAACTTGTTCTTACGAAGTTCCTGGGTGATTAGCGGTGCCCATGTAACTAAAACTGAAAGGATTTCTCCTCCATAATTTGTCCGCTTCCCAGTAGAGTTGACTTGTCCAGGAGCACAGTATCTGCACACCCACTGACTAGAAATTCCACAGCAAAGGTTTTTTTGGGTGAAGAACCAGCTCCTCTTTCTTCTTTGAAATGCGACACCTCTTAAATTATTTTGTACCTCACACCTGCATTGCATGAGACAGTGAACAGTTAAGTCCTATTTATTGGTTCCCATGACCTTATAGACCCCAGTTGCCTCTTTTCTAGATTGAAGACTTCTTTAAACAGAAGCCGTTCCATAACACTGATCATCCTTCTCTTCCTTCTCGGGAAGAGAAAGTGTACACAGTATTCAAGAAGGCAACTTATATGGATGTATAAAATAGTTTAATCGTAACACTTTTGTTCTTTATTCCTTTTCAAACAGTTCCAAACATTCTCTTTCCTTTTTAGCTTCTACCACACAAAAGCTGATGTTTGTGGAAATTTCTATTATTACCTCAAGATCTCATTGTAAAGCAGTAATAGTGAAACCACTGACCATAAATTTATATGTAAAATAAGGATTGTGTTTGGCCTGCACATGACTTTACACATACTTCTTTCTCAAATCATTCCTGATAGGTGATAAACATTTACTCTGATATGAATGTAGTACACTTAAATAGTTTTTAACCTTTATGGGTCTGAATAGCAGTCACAGCTGCTCCTTTACTCTTCTTTACTGACCTCCTAATTTTTTCCAGTGCTTTGCTGGAGGTAAGCAAACTATGTAGAAGCGGGAGAGAGCTTTTATTGCTCTTGCTGGAAGGTTAAATGCATTACAGTCCCTGCTGGAGAGCAGCTGTTGGACTGGCACATTTTAAGGCCTCAAATCTTGTACGTGGGGGTTACTTTTTGATGCTATGAAATTGCTCTTCTGATTTTAATGTGAGTTTTCTTTAACATAGAGCACTTCTTTTAAGAAAGATAACCTCCCTTATCTTTCCTCTGTACATTCTGTTCTGTTACTAAAATATCCTTTTGACAAACTTCTTTCCACCCAATTTTCTGATGTGTTTATGAGGTCAATATTCTTATTTATGGCTAGATGTCTCCAATTTTTTCTTAGACTCAGTATTCTAGTCCATATTCTGACCTCAATTATATTCTTGAAATCCAAATTTGTGTCAGCAGGAGTATTGATGTTAATATTTATTCAGGAGGTTTTTTTTTATGGAACCTGAATTTTCTCTTCCACATAAGTGGATGATCTCCTCTTGAATTATGGCTCAATAAGTTTGCAGAGTATATCTTCTGGCACAGGTCCCATACATACTATTTTCAATTTTCAGCACCCTTATTGAGACCATACTTTTCTGCACATTTCATATTGATGACATTTGCAAAGAAAAAAAAAATCAAAGGTATTCCGTTCTGGAGCCGAACAATCTTTATTGTAAGATCTTAAGGTAGAAGGATTTAAAAACACTTAGAACACCATTACATGCACATAAGGCCTCTCTGTTATACTAAGCCTTTGATTTAAAATTTGGATATTCTTTGTAAAGCTGAAGCTGTGATACCGAAATTTGTAGTCTTTTTTTTCCCATGGATTTTTACCTCCATTTTATTTTGCTATTTTGCAGTTAGATAACTTTAAATCACCTTTTTCCTGTCCATATGAACTGATTATTTTGGTAGAAACAGTATGTTTCAGGGGTTTTTCTATGCTTTTGAAATAGATTAGGTAGAAAAGGGAAAATTGTCTATGAACTGCTAGATATGAAAATTATTCTCATTGATTTTTTTTGCTGGAGACAAAGGTTTTTACAGAAAAATATATAAGAATGCCCTTATATGTCCCGATAGGAATAAACAGTGGGTGATTGGGAACTTTACTACTAGAGTGATAGCCAATTCTTCCTTTTCTGAAGACCATCTGGAATATTTCTGAGAAAGCCACTCACTTGTACATAAAACAGGTATAACAATCAGATGAATTGCATCTCCTGCTCACAACCTACTATCTGCCCATTTTCAGTTTTTTCTACTTACTGTTATTTTATTTTGCCAGTATAACAAGGGAAGACTAATTCTCATAGCTCTTTTCTCCTTAGAATGAGCATACCAAGGATGTTGTAAAGTACTGTGGAACATACAGTCTCCGTAATGCAAAAATATGGATTAAGAGATTCAAGAGGAAACCTAGTAATGTTCATCCTATTTACAAAAAGATTTTTTTCATTATTATCACATGAATATGAACAAATTTTTACAGTTTTACAATTCAAGATTTCTGTCTGGAACAAACAAAACATCGAACAACATTTATGGTTTCCAAAAGTTCAAAAGGATAGTGTTGCAGTATCTAAATGTCCTTAAGTATTTGCTAATCATATTCCAGATCTATGCAGTACAGTATATGCCATGTTGAGGTAGAAAATAGTAGTTATTATTAATGCTGTCGTTACCATCATCAGTGTTACAAGTGGAGAGAAAGGAAACTGTTATACAATTCAATTCAATGGGAATTTTTAATAGGTTCCAGAAATAGCAAATTTAGGTCAAAGTTATTTCTAGACTCTGAACAAGTACTATAAGCTAACGGTTCCTATTCTTGTTAACACAGCAGCAGTTAGTTGCTATAAAGATAAGAATGACCCTTAAAGTTTGTTTCTTATCATTCCAGATCCATTATAATACCAGCGGAAAAAGACTGCTTTTAAACCCAAATGGTTTAATACTAGAAAACAGTATTTTCTAAAACAACAATAACTTGGAGGAGAAGCATGCTTCCAATTGGTTTATTTTTCAACTGTGCATGCTATCTGCACCAATCTGCACCTAACCGTTTCCTGAAAACTATTGCTGAATATATAGCATTTTGCAATGTAATATGCACTTGTAAAATTTTGACAAAGAAATGCGTTTTCTCCTACACATTTGGTTTCAAGAGAAAGGCTTGAGCGCCCAAAACCTTATAGCTTTTT